CCAGTTCAAGGAGATGGGATATCTCCATAAAACATATGTATATATATATTCTTAAGAAGTGGGGTTGTTTGAATTTGTTTTTATTGAGGCTTGTTGACAATGTGCTGCTAGCTCTGTATATTTATTCTTAGGGTCAGAATGAAGCAAAATATGTATGTAAAAATATTCTGTAGTTCAAACATAGTTAATAACTTGATGATGTAAAATGTTTATCCTTTTGATGCTTTGTGTATCATAGCTTTCATTGTGACCACAGGCTCGTTCTGTCCACTGCAGACGGAAAGCCAAATTTGGTGCTGCCATCCATTGCTGTCTTGAGCCAAATAAGATCAGATAGGTCCTTCAAAGGCAATGTGTTCATCCCTTCATTATTTTGATTGCAGCTCTTGCAGTATTTATTACACAATGTTAAGGGTGTCCATTCTGTTGTAAATTCAATCCATTTTCCATTTCTTCTTTCTAAAATGGATTGTCCTTTTTCATCATCTGGAAGATACCTTTTACCTTGGTTTAGTCTTCCTACCTTTTTTTTTTAATTTCCTTATCACCATTTGATACCACGCATATATCTTTTATTTTTTCTTAACTTGTCCAGCTTTTAGTTTGTGTCACTTTTCTTATTGAGGTTCTGTATTTGTTTCAGCTGTTTAAAAATATCTCCATGTATTACTCTTTCAACACTGCTTCTGTTTCTGTAAAGTCAAAAGTCTCTAATGGCCTACAAAATGCTTGTGGTACTTGCTGAACTTCAGAACCTGGTTGGCCGTCTGTCAGTGATTTATGAACTGTTTCTGATGTCATGGTTGATTAAACTCCTGAAGTGAATACACCAGTGCTTACAAGAAAACCTTACATCACAATGACAATAGGCTGAGTTCTTGAGGTTATTTCCCTTTTTATGAAAGAAAACATCCAAGTTGCCACATAAGCAATCTTCCTTTTCCTCACATATTTTACAAAAAAATGTAGGTTGTAGCCATCCCTACCATCCAGTAGAGTGCCTGGAAAAACTCATTCTTGTTTTTGTATCTTTGCCCCCTCGGTGTTCATGTGAGGAAATCCAACTTTTCCTTTGACTTCATGGAGATAAATTTCATATTGAAGGACAATACTGTAAGACAGTGTTTCTCAAACTGGGGCCGCTGCTTGTGTAGGGAAAGCCCCTGAGGGGCCGGGCCGGTTTGTTTACCTGCCCCATCCATAGGTCCAGCCAATTGCGGCTCCCATTGGCCCCAGTTCGCTGCTCCAGGCCAATAGGGGCTGCAGAAAGCGGTGCAGGCCGAGGGACGTACTGGCCACTGCTTACCGCAGCCCCCATTGGCCTGGAGCAGCGAACCGCGGCCAGTGGGAGCCACAATCGGCCGGACCTGCGGACGGGGCAGGTAAACAAACGGCCCGGCCCATCAGTGGCTTTTCCTACACAAGCAGCAGCCCCAGTTTGAGAAACACTGCTGTAAGACCTCCTTAGCTTTCATAATGTCTTTTATCTTACCTCATTTTCATCTGTTCACACACAGGTACTGGTTACAGTTGTTTCATTTTCTGAGGAGAATAAATGTCCACTTAGAACTGCACCGGTACCAAGAAACTCAAGCATTAGTTTACTTCATTGTTGTTTAAGTACGTTCACTATTGTGAACTCATCCTGCTCTCACCGTTCATCGTAATTATTTTATTATCTTGTATGAACTAACAAACCCTGTATTGTTTCTGGCATTTAAATCCTTTCCCACTTTAAATTTGTCTGATTATTTGTTAGGGAGCTTTTTGTATGATTTCTGATTTCTGCAGTTCTCCTGTCAATGATGCATTCTTTTTCTTTATGACTTTTTCAATTTGATTTATATCTAATATTTTAGGACTGGGCTGTTGGGTTTTTTGTGAGTAGTTTTTTGTGTTTCTTGCCAGATTTTCAAGTCCCCTATGTTTTTTATTTTGTTTTGTTTTTAATGAGCAGCTCTCTTGAGGCTTCATCTTATGTCCCCCTTTTTTACTGTCCTTCAGTCACTTCCTATACTTTAGTTCCATGCAGACGTGTGTCTTGCTGTTCATGGAACTATCAGGGCTGACTTCAGCATATCTACATTCATTATTTTTTTCTATTTGGAAATGTGTTTCTTATTAGAATCATAAGTGCTCCTTTTTTCTTTTCTTTCTTGTGCCCTGTTCCAAGCTGTGGAAATCTCTCTCACAAGATCTTGATTTAATTCTTCCTTACAGCAAATTTCTTTCTTTATGTAAGTGACATGCAGTTTGAATATGAGCTTGATTGATCTTTGTATTTGGAAATTTTAACATTTAGCTGGCAACCTGGTCACTGATGTCATTGAATTCCATTTCCTGAAAGACTTGTGTACCTAAAAGCCTAATACCACATTCCTCTTTCATTTGTATTAGTAGTAGTAGTAATGGTGCAGTAGTGCTCAAAGGGCCTATTCAGACTTGTAGTCCCAGTGGGTTAGGTTCTCTGTGAATACATGGTACCTGACCCAAATAACTGACAAACCAATTTAATACAAAACACAAGTGAGTGTGACAAACAAATGAGGGAAAAGTGGACAGAAGAGAAGACTTGTTTTGTGGGTTTAGAATCCATTAGTTCTTCATTTGCTCCCCAAGATATCTTTGCTGTATCTGATAATATCCCACAACTTTTGTTCACTTCTGTTTGTACCATCAGCCAGAAACATGCTGAATTTGTACCAGTGATTTAGTATGTTCAAATTTAGTGAGTCTGAGATCTCTCTGCCACCTACTCCTCCTTCCCTGAATCAAATGGAACACTTCCAGTGAACTTATTTTCCGTGGAGAAGGCAGGGTATAAGCAATAAGAAAGTTCTTGGTCACTGTAGACGCCCAAGATAGAGATCTTCACAGAACATTGAAGTGTATGATAATCAATAGGCTGATCCTGCAAATGAGTAACTTGGTGGAGTCTCACTCCCCTGAGTATAGTAAATGTATATGCATTCTTAGAATCAGGTCTGAATTTATTTAATGACAGTATCATGGTGATTGGAGCTGGTTGAAAAGATGCAAAAATTTTCACTAAAATTTCATCTTTTTTGTCAAAATCTCAAAATGTTCCATCCAGCTGTAATTGGTGATATTTTGTTCACACACCTTCCTTAGTGATGAACAGAACTGTAAAGAGAACTCTCTACTATCTGCTGGACATGAAACTATTAAATCTGCCATAATCTATAGATATGTTCTCACCTTCACCTGGATGCTTAAAATCAGACTTATAACTGATAAGAATGTTGGCATGAGTTGAACAATGCAGTAGTAACACCAGCAATGTTAAATATAGTCTGTTTTCTTAATGCAGTTTTTTTAAAAAGGTTTACTAGACAACCATCACGTAAATAGTACTATATGTACTTGTGTGCAAAGTAAAAACAAAACAACCCCTCTAGACCAGTGGTTCTCAAAGCCAGTCCGCTGCTTGTTCAGGGAAAGCCCCTGGCAGGCTGGGCTGGTTTGTTTACCTGCCGTGTCCGCAGGTTTGGCCAATCGCAGCTCCCACTGACCGTGGTTCGACGCTCCAGGCCAATGGGGGCTGCGGGAAGGGTGGCCAGCACATCCCTCGACCTGTGCCGCTTCCCGCAGCCCCCATTGGCCTGAAGTGGCTAACCGTGGCCAGTGGGAGCCGCAATCGGCCAAACCTGCAGACGCGGCAGGTAAACAAACCAGCCCGGCCCGGCCTGGCCTGGCAGGGGCTTTCCCTGAACAAGCGGCGGACCAGCTTTGAGAACCACTGCTCTAGACACTAATGGCTCAACATACTAGTTGATAAATGCCTGTCTGCAAAAGACTGCTTTTGAACCATATACCGTATTATCTACTAATAACTTTAAACCATATTGGTCTGTGTAGGAAAACTCAGAAGAACTATGCATGTGCACTTACTGGTTTTCAAAATCAAATATCAGATTTATTTATTTTTTTTACTTTTACCAATACCTTTTAAAAATGCTTATACTTTGTTATAGACTAGTTGTTTGCTAAACTTAATTACTTTAAATCCAAGTATTGTTGCCTTTTTGGTCATGCAGGCAACAGAAAGCATCTTAAAGTTCTTTTTCTTATTATTTTTAAACACTCCTTTATTACTTTGAAAAATAGTTTAAAGGGAGGTTTTGAGGTTGTTTTGAAAGTTTGTTTAAAAAGAGAGCATTCTCCTTTGCTTTGTATGTTAAATTTTAGGCCATAGTGAATTGTTGCAGCCAAGTTTATGTAGGGCCTGATCCAAAGCCCTTTGAAGTATGTGGAAAAAGCTCCTGTTGATTTCAGTGGACCTAGAATCAAGCCCACAGGCCAAACTATTTAAGACAAGAGCCTTATAAAATGTGACCAGACTTTCAATAGGAGAATTGAAAATCAGGCCACTTTTTTAGGGGTATGGATTTAGAAACCTGATTTTCAGCTCCTATTTTTGAAAATTTTGCAGATAGATCCTATAGTGTTTGTTGAGATTTAGAGAAGTGTAGGTTTGGGCATACAGAAATGCTCCTTTCTTTATCTGTGGAAGGCTTATTTGATCATCAGTATCACATCTTGGCTTTTCTTCCTCTCAGCAGTAACCATTCTCTTTTTCACAGAAGTGCCAAATGCAAACTATTGCATTATTCTTTTCATAAATATGATTACAAAGGAAGAAAAATGTCTATCCCTCAGTAGGTTTGCAAAACCAGCCTTCAGAGGCTGAAAACTGTTATACATATCTGGCTTTAAACATTGTAAAATAAAAATAAAGTGAAATTGTAACAGCTCGGCTTGAGAGGAGACATTAGAATCCCAAACATTTAACTGGTCTAGGTGACATTTATGGGCTATGGCCATAGTGTTCTCTTTATTTTATGTAAAGATGATATTCACATGCTTTTGTCTGACTAATAAGCAAAGGGAAAGGGCATTTCTCTAAGCCTTGTTTAACGATTAAGCATTGCTTACAGTACTCTTTATTTTTCCCCACCCTGTCCCGCTCCTTCTTGTAGAATCACATCGGGAATTCCTTCATAGGCCTGCTTCTGGATATGTGCCAGAGGAGATCTGGAAGAAAGCTGGTAAGAATTGTTTAAAAACATGAGCTTAGTGTTCTGGCAGCTATGTGCAGTTGTTAATGCACTGATGTGAGGAATGAAAAGAAAGGGCTTACTAGTAACAAAAAGAAATTTTATTTAATAATCTTAAACTGGAACTGATCAGAACATGAAATAATCTTTATTATAAAAACATCTGCCACCACAGTTTAGGGGCTGTCAATATTTCCATTAAATAACCCAATTTTCAGGGGTTATAATGGCTTCAGGCTGAAAGTTGATATACAAAAGTTTCCGTCTGTGAGCAATTTAAAAAAAATAAAGTTTGACAATTTTTTAAATTTGAAGATTTCCACACCATTAACCTCCAAGGGAAAAGAAAACATAAATATGTACTTTTTTAAAAAAAAATGGAAAAATACAGAGTTGGGATTGTAATGTGAAAAAATGTGTAATATTTCATGGCTGTTAATCAACAGTCAGATTTAAAACACAGCTCTTAAACACAGTAATTTCAAAGATGGATACAATGTTGCATCTGCACAACTGCGTTCATATTTGTTGCACCAGCATTTGCACACACTAAGTCCCTGATGTTGTGATCTGTTCTGCATTGGCAGAACAGTACAGAACTCCTTGAACTCCATGAAGTTTGGCATGAGCACAGGGGTTCACTGGAAGGGATCATATTGCTGTCGTGGGATGAAATCTTGGCTTCATTGAAGTCAACAGAAATTTTGCCATTGACTTCAAAGAAGCTAGGCTTTCATCCTCAGGGCGTGAGCTCAGCTACCAGTTTGTGTGCACTCAGGCCTGATTTTTGCATGTGCAACTGTCTGCTTGATTGTGAAAATGCTAGGGTGCAGAGGCACATTTATGTCCCATTGCTACTGCCTTTGATAAAGTGACCCATAATTTTAAAGATTAAATGGCAGATACAGGAGTTTCAGGATTTTCTACTTTGTCCTATAACTGCTTTTCATTAGAGTTTTTATTTATTTATTTATTTATTACGGAACAAAAATACACAATGTTATGAAGGCATATTGATGCAATAGACATAGTCATGTCATTTAATGTACTGTGGATTCATCTTTTGGAATACATACTTGTTGATATGTGTTCAAAGCATATTTTATTTAGCTATCACAGTTTATGCTATAACTAACACAACTCATTCAACATACAATTTTGTCCGATGTCCAAAGGAAACTTAGCCTTAAAATGTGATGCTGTGGTATGTCAGTGGCACGTTTGTTTCCCTTTTTCCTTTATTTATGGTAGTATCTTAATTTAAAAATAAGAAACAATGATCAAATATGATGGAGTCCAAAAAAACATAATTTACAGCAAGTTGCATAGAGGAATTTCTGAAATTGAAACTTTATTCTTCATAGGGTCTCTAGGTTTTGCTGCTTGGCAAATTCTGTAAACTTGACACATCAAATTATTTGCAATTCCTAGACACAGGAAAGTGAAAGAAGAATGGTGCTTCACACTTTACTAGAGATGGCAGCAAAATTTAGGGGCTGTTATCAAATTTCAAATGTTCTCAAATTCTGGGCCCAGATCATCAGCTGGTGTGAAAGGAGCTGTGTCAGTTAACACCTTATGAACATTTGTCCTATTGGGTTGTTTTGGATCTGGGATTTTGATTCAGACTTGGTTCTAGTCCCAACTCTGTTTTCATGCTTATATGGGTTTAAATTGGATCTTTAATTTTAACTGAACATAGTTTTTGATTGAGAGAATCGTAAATAAGATGTCTACAATCATTGTCCAGCTATGCAAGAAGAAGGACCGGAGATCCTGGATGTGGTTAGTCTTCAGTTTTATTCCTAAATGTCTGAGTGTACCTGGCAGATAAAATTGTACAGTGCCAGTAATTCCATAATCATTTACATATACCTGAGGGGCTGCTAGCAGTCCTTTCCCTTGCCTATCCTGCTTCCCAGGCAAGCTGCTGTTGTGACCTTGCCACCACCACCTCGTCAAATGAGGGTTAAGAGGACTATAAAGAAGAGGTGACTGATTCCCTGCCAGTCATAGGAGTCCCGAACTTCTCCTATTTCTGCTCCTTTAAAGAATACCTCCTTTAAATCCTTTCCCCGTCCATTTTATCTGATCATTGTATCCATTTCCTATGGAGTACCTGCTCTGGACATCTGCCCCAAGCTTACAGAATGAATTGCAACACCACAGTTTAACCTCCATTTTGTGGTTGTTTTGCCCCCACTAAGCTCCCAGCCCACTTTGGGGGTGGCGAAAAACCCCACCTTGCCTTGGCCAATCTGGCGATGAGGGACAAATTCCCTCCCAGCTGCCCGAGAAAGGAGCAACTAGCATAATTCTCACAGCAGATCATGATGAAACCTGTTAATTTAGCTACTTTTGTGAGTGGGAGGGCAGCAGGAGAGCAGCCAGCTTTTTTGCCACCCTAGGCGGCGGACGTTCTTGCCCCTGAAATGCCGCCCCCGACAGAGGCAGTGGAAGGTCCCGCCCCCGAAATACCGCCAACCACTGGGGCAGCCGAAGATCCGGCCGCCGCGGTCACCGCCCCCCAAATGTTAGCATCCTAGGCAACCGCCTAGGTCACCTAATGGGTTGCGTCGGCCCTGGAGGGCAGGTGCAGCTCAGCCTAGTCCAGGTGAAAAAGAGGCTTTTAGTCCACAGGCATGGGCACCTGGGGGCAATGGATCAGTGTCCTTATGCTGACTTGGTGTGAATCTGCCCCCATGTAGCAGGCAACTCTTTGGCTCTCTAGCCCTTGAGTGGGCAACAAGCTTCTCCGACAAGCCAGATAAAAGGGCCCCGTCGCTTAATGTGCGGTGAGGTCATTGTGCTGTTTTTCTGCTAGTCACATATGTGTCTGCTATGCTTATCTAGTAATATAAGGTCACAAAACCTGCAGCTTTTTTTTAAAGTAAATTTTAGGCTTATATTTTCAAAAGTGCCTACTAATGTTGGGTGCATCCATTTCTGAGTGACCAACTTGAGACACCAAAGGCCTGATTAAAGAGGTGTTGAGCACACACAACTGCAACTGAAGTTAAAAGATTTAGGGATTAAGCCAGAGGTGGGCAAACTACGGCCCACGGGCCACATCTGGCCCGCGGGAGCATCCTGCCGGGCCCCTGAGCTCCCGGCCGGGGAGGCTTGCCCTGGGCCCCTCCCCCACTGTCCCCCCCTCTCCCTCACAGCCACGCCACTGTGCGGGCAGCGCTCTGAGCGGTGGAGCTGCGCGCTCCTGCCAAGCAGAGCGGCAGTGTGTCTGGCTTCAGCTGGCGCGGCAGCCAGACATGCTGCTCTGCATGCTCTGCTCGGCACAGTAAGTGGGCTGGGGCCAAGGCCAGGGGGTTGTATAAGGGGCGGGGGACCCTAGGAACAGTCAGGGGGCAGGGAGCAGGGGGCAGTTGGATGGGGTGGAGGTTCTGGGGGGGCAGTCAGGGGACGGGGAACGGGGGGGGTTGGATAGGCATGGGATCCCAGGGAGACATGTCAGGGGGCAGGGGTGTGAATAGGGCCGGGACACTCAGGGGACTGAGAGCAGGGGGAGGGGGTGGATAGGGGGTGAGGTCCCAGGGGGCGGGAAGTGGGAGGGGGCGGATAGGGGGCAGGGGCCAGGCTGTTTGGGGAGGCACAGCCTTCCCTACCCGGCCCTCCATCCAGTTTTGCATCCCCAATGTGGCACTCGGGCCAAAAAGTTTGCCAACCCCTGGATTAAACATTTGAAAATCAGGCATAGCTGTCTCCAGTTGGGCATTGAAAAGCTGAAGCATCAAAACATTAGTGAGCAATTTCTACAAGTTTAAAGTCCAGGGCTTTATTCCAGCAAATCATTTATGTCAACATGTGCTTAGCTTGTGGACTTCACTAGGACTAGCTACATGCTTAAAGTTAATTAGTTGCTTAGTTGATTGTTGGACCAGGGTTAGCATGCTCAGCATCTTGCAGGCTTGAGCCATAACAACCCAATTGAGCTCCCATAAAAGTCAGTTGAAAGAATGCCATTGATTTCAGTATGTAAGGTCAGGCCCAAAAGACACTGTTTGTGTCAAGTAGAGCTTACTCCTGCAAGCAGTCCTATTGAATGCCTCTCTCTCTGGGGCTGCTCACATGAGTAAGAGCAGCTCAGCATGAGTGAATGTTGTAACTGAACCCATGAATAAACACTAAACAGGCACCCAAACGATTAGCAGTTGTGAGGAAATTAAGAGGTCTTATACATACATTTGTTAGACTCGTGCGTCCTTAGCCACATTTTTCATGCTTTCTGATATTTGAAACTAATCACCCTTTCTCTCTCTGGAAGGGAAGTGGTGGCCTATGCCACTATTACTCTTTTTCTGTGGGAAGTCAAGTATTGTCTGTCTAGGAAAGTAAAATCTCTTCTTATAGTGTCCATAACTGCCATCAAGCTACTGCCCAAGTAACATGGGTTTTATTTTGAACTCTGACAATCAAATCTGCAGTGCCTCGCTGTCCATAAAGCCTTACTATTGGGGGGATTCTGCGTGACTACATGCCCACAGAAAACGGCCCCCCTGCAGAATTCCAGTGCTTCCCTGCAGAAAATGGCAGGGAAGCAAAGGGAAACTGGGGAAGAGGCAGGGAAGACCATGGGCACAGTTTTTTGGGGGGGAGACTGCCCCCTCCAAAGAGAGGTGAGGTATGGGGGGAACACAGGGTTATGTGCCATTGCCTCCCACCACCATTTCTGCAAGTGCAGAGCTGCCCAGCTGAAGGAGGCTTCCTCTCTGCTCTGCTGACTCTGAACGCTCCCTACTGGGTCCTAGTGTCAGTCGGGCTCCCCTTCAGTGTACTGGGAGCCTTCCTGTTTTCTGTGCCACAGTGAGTGTCCATGGTGGGGCTGAGTAAGGGTGGGTGGAGGAAATGATGGAAGGGGGTTGGGGAGAAGAGGTAGTGGGGAAGGAAGGGGGTGTGGAATAGGGCAGGGGAGGGGAATGTGGGAGTGAGGAGAGGGGAATGGAGAAGGATAGGGAAATCGGGGGGTGAGGGGAGGGGAAGTGGGAGCCTAGCATGCAGCGTCCCCTCGGCAGCAGCTGGGGCTCCCCCATTAAGCAGGCCCTTCGAACCCTCACCCTGACAAGCCCTACCATCCTACCCTGGACCCCTCTGATGACCCCCACACCACCGATCCCCAACCAGCTGCACCTGGACCCCCAATCCATCAAGCCCCACTCTCCCAGCATATGCCCCCCACACTAAGCCCCCCACACCTAGACCCCCCCTGCTGAGCCCCAACCACCTTCACCTGGATCCCCTGCAGAGTCCCATTGCCCCTGCACCCAGAACCCTCCAACGAGCCCCTGTTCATCCAGATCTCTGACTGAGCTCCCCATGCCCAGATTGCCCCACACAGAAACCTCTCACCCCACACCTGGATCCCCCCACACTAAGTCTCTCCACACTTGTACCCTGCTGGGCTGAGCCTACCCACCCACACCTGGTTCACCTGGCGCAGAGAGGCAGGGCACCAGAGTGTTTCTGGGGCAGGCCCAGCCCTTTCACTGTGTCAGGGTTAGGTGCAGCCTTACTGCTGAGTCCCTGTACTGGCGGAGGTGGGGGCTTCAGGGTGATCTCCCACCTCAATGCAGTCAGTGGCTTGTGCTCCCCACTACCATGCGGGAGCCACATTTATTTATTGACAAATAAAATTTGCAGAATTTTAAAATATTGTGTTCATTATTTTTTAATTTTTTGGCGCAGAACTTCCTCAGGAGTAATAAAGCATTTACAACTATTATGGGTTATCTATAATAATAGAATGTGCAGAAAATAAGTGTTTATGTGGAAGAACAGTTTCCTTTAGAGGTAGGGTCATATATTTGTACCGCACTGAAACACTGTTATTGCTTTGTGATTGAAAAACCAAATAAGCTTTTATCTCTTTTTGGCTTTGTTTGTGGTTATATTAATACAATCAGATATCACACCTGATATATCAACTCTCCATTTATATAATCAAATATAACTGAAAACGCAAAACACCATTTATAGTTCATCCAAAACCAGAGATATTTTCATTCTGCCCCAGTTTGTGGTCTCTAGAATGTTTTAAAACACTTTGACAACACCATTTGAGCCTTTGAGTAAGTTTTTACAATACAGAATTAGATTATAAACTATAGTAACTGAACCTATTTCCTCCCACCTTATGTACAGTCAGGGCCGGCTCTAGACACCAGCAAAACAAGCTAGTGCTTCGGGCAGCACATTTTTAGAGGCGGCATTCTGGCGTGGGCCATGCCGCCCCTAAAAATGTGTCCCGGCCGCCCTAACTCATCTCCACTGCTGCCGCTCACACACCGCTGCTCGCCCTCCCTCCCAGGCTCTCAAACCTGGGAGAGAGGAGGAGATCCCGAGCGGCCGCGGCGCGTGAAACAGCTGATTCGCGCGCCGCTGCTCCCCCTCCCTCCCCAGGCTCCCAAACCCGGGAGGGAGGGGGAGATCCCGGCGCACCGCGGCCCGCAAAACAGCTGATTCGCGCGCCGCTGCTCCCCCTCCCTCCCCAGGCTCCCAAACCCGGGAGGGAGGGGGAGATCCCGGCGCACCGCGGCCCGCAAAACAGCTGATTCGCGCGCCG